GCATTTTCAGTGTGTGTTTGTTATTTTTATGGTTTGCATATAAGGTATCCCCCAAAAGCTCTTAGGTTAATGTAGGAAGTGAAATGATTAGATTATGAGAGCTGAACTGAATCAGTGGATAAATCCATTTGATGGATTAATATTTTGAATAGATTACTAGGTGACAACCGTGACAACAATAGTTAGAGGAAATGTGTCCCTGTGGGTATCCTTGGGGATTATATCTTTTATCTTCAGATTCTCCTGCTCTCTCTGCTTCCTGCTTTCCGTGAACTGACACCTTTCCCTTTCTCCATAATGTCCTGCCACTGCTAACATCCAGAGCAATAGAATCAGCTGGCCTTTGACTGAACCTCTGAAACCATGAGTCCCAAATTAAGCATTTCTTCCTCTAATTGTTCTTGTCGGGTATTTTGACCATACTAATAAAAGCTGACCAACAGGCATTTTCACTATGTCCATATTAATTTTCTATAATTGTGTAAATCTCTTTGTTAAACTTCTTTGTTCACATCTCCTACATGTTCTATTAGTTCTTCTAACATGACTTCTTACAGATACAGTCTGTATACTTTTATATGTTTATCTGACTTTGTTCCACTTTGTTGTATACAAAACAGTAGAAACATTTGTTTATGCTTAGAGTTGAACATATTCTTATTTTCTGATACTATTTCTTTAATAAATTTAACATTGAGGAGTTGTCCATTGCCACAGATAACTTAATTTCTCCTCCATTCAGTTATATGTTATGCATTCATGGTATATTTTATAGCATTTATGATGTTCCAAGCTCTATGGTAATAACTGTATGTAGAAATTCTCTGAAGACCGGGACATGTTTGTAAACAGAATAAATGTAATAAAATGTGATCAGTGCCACAATATTAACATATAAAGCACCACAAGAGAAAGATGGAGCTTTTTTAGAACTCTTTGGCACATTGATGGGTGCAAACATCAATGTATTAATATATCATACTACTTCATGTTGAAAATTATGTATCCATTCAAATTGAAGGCCATTGTTCTCTTGAAATTTCCTACAAAATCTTACAAGCCCTAAGTTGCATTTCTATAATATAGTGTCCCTATATTGTTTCTTCAATGTACAGCTTTTAAAGAACCATATATATTATGAATATTGTTCTATATAATTAAACCAGTGGTTATTCAAATATCAATCACTTATTCACTGAGCACAAAATATTCAATAAAGCATGTATGTGGAAAGCAACCAACTTATATAAAGCACCATGTAAATTTATTTCAATTTCTGTATAATGAACTAGAATTACTTGATCATAAGTACGTGATATTAGTGCAAAAAATGGTTGGCATTGCAGTAGTAGATATTAATAATCCTAAGTCATATTTTATTTTTCAGATATATCCTGAATTAAAATTCATATTTGAAATATTTCTATTTTCATATATAGGTGAGTACATTTTAAAGGAAATATTGCTTTTTTATTTCATTCTCCATTCTTTCCTCTTACCCTACTTGTTTACTATATATATGTTGTGTTTGTTTAGTTCTTTCTAAAATTTTTCCATCAAATCTAATCTGCTATAAGGGCTGGGAGTGTAGCTCAGTGGCAGAGTACATACATATCATGTGTGAAGTGCTGGGTTTAGTTCCCAGCACTGAAAACAAACTCATACACACACACACACACACACACACAAAAAAAAAAAAAGTTCTGCTATTAATAATGTCTAACTTGTTTGCAATTTTAACACATTATTGCTTGAGATTATTTATAATATAAATCATGTTTACAATTAGTGTTACAGTCTCTAATAAAATGTGTTCCTCTAATAATGTAATAATGTAAGGTGTTTTTCCAAGATTAAGAAACATCTGTGTGTTTGTTTAATAGGCCAAGATTTGTAAAGAGGAAAGCACTAACACTGCCCATCTGGGACCCATTATTCTAGGGATAGGGAGGCACAGTTCCTCCTTGATGTCCACCCAGCCTGATCCCAAGCATTTTCTTTAGCTAATTGCTCATCTGAAATTCCTCCTCCTCCTATATCTTCAATCTTTTTTCTTCCTAACTCCTCCCCCTTAAAAGAGAGTCAAGAAGGCAACATAATGTAGTTGAAGAAACATAAGCTTTGCAATAAGTTTCTGCTTCCAGGACTTGGGGAAGATACTTCAAATTTTAAAGACTCTTCTCTCTAAAAGGGAGATGTTAAATTCTACTTCAAGATCAACATAAGAAGTAAAGAAGTACGTGACATGCCTAACATTTAGTTTGGCATAAAGTATTGCCCTGCTTTTCAAATTTCCATGTTAATAATGATATATTCATGATAATTATGGTTTAACAATAACAACTACCCACTTGTCTCTTTTGATAACTTAATCTTTCTCCTCTTCAAATTTTAATGTGCATTCAGCTCCTTATTTTTCTACTTCTCATTCCCATTTTAATCTGCTTTTAGTTCAGAGCAACTTTTCTCATTTAATTCATTAGTATTAGTAAGCTTCTACTACTCAAATTTCTTTAATGCAGTTTGTACTTATTTGTATTGATATAATACCATATATCCAAAATGGCCATGTGTGTGTATGTATATTTGATATTTCAATTTTATTGTCTTCTGACTTCCTAATTTTCTGATCATTCCAGCTTTCTTAAATTTTCTAAATCCTGCCATTTTAATAATTTTAAGGATGCTGTCCTCTCATATCTCATTCAACCACCTATTTAATCTGGGAGACAAGTTCTAGACAAGTTCTGTAATTTCTTTCAGCTCGTAGCTAATGAATACCATGATTTTCAACAGCCCCTACTATTCATTTATGCTCCATATACTTATTTCTATTGGTCTACTAGACATCAAATTGATATTACAAAGGACTTCAAAATACACATAACTCAAACTATATTCATTTTCTCTATTTCTCATTTTCTTTAGTTTTATTAATGGCATCATTATTCACTTAAAATGGCCAAGAAAAAAACTGAAAAATATTCTAAAATATTTTTTTATGTAGTTGCTATATATTTCACCAAATCTATTGATTCTCTTCCCTAGCCTCCTTTCATCCAATCCCCCTTCCTTTGTTGCTCTGTCTTCTTGGGAGTAACAATTATGTCTCATCTGGATTATGTCAGTAGTCTCCTAACCTTGCAATCTGCCTTTGGTTACTTCCATATTCCAACTCATCTTCCCGAAAGATGCCCTATCTTCCTAGAGTACAAGTAGGATCATATTAATGGCTAGAAGAATACCTTTATTTTGTCAACATAGATAAGATCTCCAGAATGAGTTCTACTGTATAGCACAGTGCCTATGTCTAACAATATTTTATAGTATATTTAAAGTTTGCCAGGAGTGTAAACTTATGTCATGTGTCCTTAGGCCCCCAACATGCGTGTTCACACACACATGCACACACACCAACAGTAATAAAGGAGGTAAGAATAAACTTTGGTAGGTTATAGATAGATCCATGGCCTTGATGGTGGTGATGGTTTCATGAGTGTGTATTAATTCCCAATCTCATTGAGTTGTATATATTATCTATGCATACCTTTGTACATGTCAATCATAATTCAATAAAGTAGGTAGAAAAAAAGAATAGTTTACAATTGTATAATACTTACTAAATGAAAAACATTGTTTTGAGAGCTTTACTGATACAGTCTCAAAACACTGTGATGATTTGTGTATCCCAAAAGATAAAAGCACATTCTGTTAATAGGGCCTATTGGGCCACTCTCATGTAGGCCTCAAACTAGCTTTCTCTCGACACCTTCACTGACACAGAAGTAGTCATTGAATATGCCATGTTCTTACATCCCACAATGTCACTTCACCTCTACCTATTTATTTATTTATTTAGATACTAAGGATTGGATCCAGGGCCTTATGCATGCAAGGCAAGTGCTCTACCAACTGAGCTATATCCCCAGACACAATGCCTCTACTCTTTTTGGCGAGAATTCTTGCCCATATTATCTGCTTGGAAAATTCCTAAACATCCTTTAAGACTTAGCTTAGATATTCATTCATCCAATTACTCAATTAGTTCTCCTAGGGAGGATACATGTTACCATATTCTATAAAGATTTGTACATGCTTCTTCTATAATGATTTTACCTTGTATTGTCATTGTCCCTTTTCCACTTATTCTCCTGCCATCCAGTATACTAAGCTCTTTGAATGTAAATCTATATTTAATCTGTACTTGGACCTCTAAACCCTGGTACAATATCTAACAAAATAAATTCTCAATAAAACTCTTCCAAATAAATGAGAGGACCAAATATATGATGATTTTCTGCTTGGTTATAAATATGCTTATTATGATTCTTATGTCCCCAAAATAGGAAGCAAATTCCTGTATAGGTTTTAATCAAGAAAGTGAATTTTGATATTAAACACACTAATATAATGAAGAACACCCCCCCCTTTCTTTCTCTCTCTCTCTCTCATTTAAAATACAAAGGTAATATTTTTTTTCATTTCAAAACAACACAAAAAGCATAGAAATATGCTATTCCAGACTCTAAATTTGAAATCCTTCTGTCTGGTTTTAATCAAAAAGATCAGACACAGTAATAGAAATAAATGAAGTCTCCCTCCATCCCTTCTCTAATGAGAAATACTAATATCATCTTTTTTTCACCTAAAAACAAAAGAAAAACAAACAAAGGATTTGTAGAAATATGGTACTCTCAGGCTCTGAATTAAAACCTCTGAGAATATTCTTATACTAACACGGAGACAAATGTTAACAAATAATGATTTAAAAGAAAAACTACTGAATGTATTTCTGAGGTATTAGAGTACAGCTTATAGGCCTTATTAACAGTTGACACTGACTGTATTTTACCTCTGATCCTCATCTTCAGTGTGAAATCAATACAGCCTGCCTCATGCTTCACAAAGTATTGGTGTGAGAAGCAAGAAGGAGAACATTTTGGGGAGTACGCTTTGAAACATAATGTACTGTACTATGACGTGTGTAGCTATTCACTCACCAAACACAGTTCTTGCAGGCACAGATTCTCTGTTAAGCCAGAATGACACTTGGGAGAGAATGACAGTCATGATGCAAGGCAAATAGGTCTGAATCACAAAATACCCAATTTTTCTTTTCAAGTGGAAATGAGCTGTCATTACAGTATATTCACCTGGAAGAAAAATTTAAGTAGCTTAAGGAACTGTAATAGTCAATAGTTGGAACATTTTGAAAATGGAAAAGATGTTAGAAAGAATAGTCCCTGATTAAAAAATAAAATGAACACATACATATCATGAAAACTATACCAAACTTGAAATCCCTCATTAACACTGCACGAGCATTTAAGACAAATTTCATAGTTATCAAAAAACTTGCATTGCATGTTTTTTCTTTGGGTCATGCCTGCTGACCAACAGGATTCAGAATTGAAAAGGCTCTTTGCCAGTGGATTATCCTACTTGCTCAGGTTTCTTATTATCACTGGTACTGGCTTCCAGCTTCTGCTATAATAGATCTAATTTGGTCCTCCCTGGCTCTTCAAAGTGTTGATCTCTGGCCTCATACCTAAGACTAGTCTTCTGGCCCAGATTCCCACTGCCAACCCCACCACCCGTTCTGGATTTCTCTGTGCTGTGTGTCTGCTCCAATTTGCTTCAGTCAGTTCCATGTGATCCTTGAATCTACCTTCCCTTCTTCTCAGGGTTTTAATTATTGCCAGATGTAAGCTAATTAGTCCAAACAACTGCTATTTTCTTAGATGAGGGTGGCCCTTAGAGAGAGAATGAGCTTTTCCACACAGGCCAGTAGTAATTATCCATAAATCAAGAGTCGAATAATCATAAATTATCCAGAACAGAAGGAAAAGAATCAGAAAAGAAGGGAAGTTGTCATCACAGATGTAGAGACAAATGTTAAAACTGATCTGAGAAGACAGGCACTTTTTGAATATGTAATATATTTTAGGCCAGTGTCTCTGAAACTTTAATGCACACATGAATCTCCTTGGAATCTAGTGAAAATACAGGTCCTAATGTAGAAAGAGCTGTAGCCTTAGATTCTGAATGTCTAAAAAGCCTCTAAGCAGTCTGAGCTGATAGTTCATGGACCTCAAGAACAAAAGTTTTTAAGTAATCTGACTCATTTCCAATAACTTTAATTTATTAATTTTTGCAGACATTAGTTTTTCTTTAGACTCATTTTACTAACCTGTACTGGATTTAATTGTCTCCTTTCCAATTGATTGGCCCAGCAGATCATATTGATTTAACCTGGAGCCATCAGGAGCAACCTGTACTGAGTCAGATGCATTGTAAGTCCAAATATAAGTGACCTCTGAAGTTGTATATGCATCTGTTGGAAATCAGAAAAAAAATTCTTAAAACACTTTAATAAGAACCACCAATAGAATGAAAAAGTCAAATGTTGTATATTTCATAGAATTACTTTTTATTACAATAATATTTAAAGAGGTCACATTTCATGGAAATAATAGATCCTTGAAGTTTATGATTTTCATATGAAATGTATGAAGCAGACAAACATAACAATCATGAGAACCTGAGATTAATATCATTGCAACCATTGTGAGAGCTGAAGAGCAAACTTCTCTTCAAAAAGTCTGCAAAAATCACCAGGCTCTTAGATGGTTATATTGTTGCCCTTAGTCCCAGGGATTCAGATGAAGACACTGTATTAAAGAAATATACTGGAGTAGAAATAGCAACCACTTAGGAAATAAAAATCATTATCCAAAATTATGCTGTCTTCTGAACATAAAAGCAACTTAGTTAAGTAAAATGACTTAGCTATCAAATGACAATGCATTGCAGGAATGGTGTGACTCTACATCATGTACAACCAGAGAAATGAAAAGTTGTGCTCCATTTGTGTAAAAAAAAAAAATTACAATGCATTTCATTAGAAGACTGAGAACTAATTGCAAGACATGTGAAGTAAATCAGAACACTAAATAGTTCAAACATCTGCAAACTCTTCTTAAAAGCATTTGTTTTAAAATTAATTAATACACACAAATGTCACTAGACTACAATTTTATAGCATCCCAGTTAACCTATGAATTCAGAGAAAGAGATAAAACAGAGACAAGGTAGGCCTATATGATTTCTTAGGCCTAGGATGCAGAACTTGCAGAAGTGAGATGATTCCAGAGCTGGGGTACAGGTGACAGAGCTGGTCTTAGCCTTCTGCACTGGCATTTCCTCACTCATGCATGTTCTGTTAGAGAACAGCTGACCTCTCCTTGCAGGCAGTTTCTCCACAATTGAAAAACCATAATTTCTGCTCTAACAATGACTTTGGGAAGAACTTCTATGAATTTTGCTCATGTAAATGCTTAGAAATATTAGTTACTTCTGGTTCTTGAACAAAATTCAGCATCACAGTCAAATTTTTAGCTGGGGAGGAAAAGGACCAGATGTCTCAGGCAATACCTCTGCCTCCAGCCTGCCAGGACACTGACAACCTCATTTCTTTTCCAGGTATAAGTTACTTTCCTTAATTCTACTGTTCTGGGGTGGTCCTGGTGCTGAACATTATTCGAGGTCCATAATCACAAATGAATTTCAATTTAAGCATAAGTAATAATACAGTGAATGTTTACGAGTTCGTATCTTATTTATTATGCTGCCTTTTCATGATATATTTCAATATTCTCTGGTTTTCTGAATGTTGTTTCTAAATGTTAATATCAGCAAAATACTGTTTTCATTACACATTCATTCATTTACATCCACAATTAAATTATGTGAAAATGTTTGAAATAGGATTATAATAAATAAAGATATATATTTCTGCAATTTTAACATAGATAAATATATAATATTGTAGATGAATGAATTCTTGTTATTTTAAAGTATAAATTTCTTAATAATTAATTTGAATTAATTAATCACTGATGATTTTACTGATAAAAAAATCACGTAATAACTTAGTATTGCAGTAAGTAGCCCATTTGCAGATCATAATGTGGCTTATTATCTTTCTCCCTTAAATACACATTATTGTCCCTCTCTTCAAAATAATTTCAAATATCACAAAATCAACAGATAAGAAGATACATTTCCTTTGTCACTTATGTATTAGAGAATCATATTCTGTAGTTGAAAATCTTAATAAATTATGAAGTTTTTAAAAGTAAATACAATTGTATAACTTGAATTTTAGGGTTACTTTTGTATATATAAGAGAAACAAAAGCCTATAAAAGTGATTTCATTCCTAAATATTTGTGAGACACTCATGAGCAGAGATTCTGATTCATGTCTATAAATGGATTACAGCTTGTTAATGTTAGATTAATGTTGACTAAAATTAATATTTTAATTATGTTATAAAACATGCAGATCTCGAGAAGAGCCTGACTCTTTTGCAGTAAATGACTGATCCTGCATCTATTTTTTACAAATGAAGTCGCTGCATTGCATTAATTCAACAGGAATCTACTGCATTTTATTTTTTAGATTTGGGGTATGATGAGAAAGCATGTAACGGAAAATTGTACAATGCATACTGGAGAGGCTGTTCTGGTACTCTAACATACACCTAAACTGGGAGGCCGACATGATGCTTCTCAATTAAGCACAAATGGAGAGAAGGATACTTTGTTTAGTAAAATTCCCTATAAATCCCACTACTAACCTAGGCTGCCTGTAAATAATTTTATTTAATTTTGTTAAAAAAAATCCATGTTTGAGTCATGTTGGTGCACTATACAAATGCATACTGACTGTTAATATTTGGTAACCAAGCAAAATACTCCCAAATCACTTTTATCTAGTAAATTTTATCCGAAAAGAGGATTTACAATGCATTTTTGGCTACTACACAGAATAATCCTAGACTTCCATTCAGGAAGTTTTAAATCCAGGGAAACAAAGAAGAATACAAAGATGTGAGACAACAGGTATAAAACAAACACAACTGAATTTAAAATTGTACACATGTAGGAAAGATGCTTCTTTTATTTGAGGACAACAAAGTCCCAGAAATTCAATCATTTTTGTAGGTGGGAAGGACTTGTAAGTAAGCATGGAATCAATGACTAGGGGGAAAAGTCACAGCTGCTTCTGCCAAATTTTGCTGTGTCAACATGTTAAGGTTTGGCTTGGCTAGTTGGTCTATTATTCCACACTGGTGTCCATACTTTTAACACCTATGGATCAAAAATCTACTATAGAAAGATAAATAAGAGAATATGCAAATTTTTATTCAACATGTCAGCATATAAATGTGAAGAAAACAAAATGAATAATAACTATTTAAACAGGCAATGCTTAACAAAACTTTTGTGCATTGACCGTAGACTTTCTGGATACAGAAAACTATAATCTCAAGCATGCAATATTCCACTACTCTGTATCTGCAATGTATCATATTTTTAAAGTTCAAATAAAATATTTTTGAGCAAGTTTATCTCCTTTTAAGTACCGAGACATCACATTATTTATATTTGATGTCAAAATTCCAATACTCTATCGACTAAAACATGCCTTTCTTTATATCATTACAGGTTCTTGGATAAATTCTTTCTTTGGTATAAAGGCTTTTCAAATTTCTGTTTAATGTCTCTTATGCAATGCAGATGAGTTATTCTCCTCTGCATCTGCTGTGGTTTTCTCAGCATCATGTTTACATTGTATAACATGATTGACTATCTTAAATAAAGTTGGAAGAAATGCCAGTGTTGAAGTGATGGTTTCCATGACAATAAAGAAACGCTTGTGGTTTAACAAAGAGGAGATTCTCAAAGAAAATTGAGAACAGACACCTTTTGTAAAAATGTACAGAACAAACAAGACTGAACTTCTTACTCCATGAAACTATGGTCTTCAAAACTATTGGGGGGATTTGCATTCATTTTAGCTACCATTCTTCCCCCTTTCTTTAACTGGACACTGTCTGTGAGAAGAAGGTACACTCTTTGGTCATACAAAGTTTTAGTCAGGTGAGAGAATTGTCTTTTTGTATTCAGCAGAGGAAAAAAAGAGCCTAAAAGTATTTAAAATGAATGGACAAAGATGGGGGGTTCCAGAAAGAGCACAGCTTCTAAAAAAGATCAGAGAAGAGGACGTGCTCACACAAGGGAGAAGCTGCTTAGCTGGGTTCATAAGTTTAATTTGAATCTGCCTGGAGTGTCATGTGAGCCTAGGAGGAGGATTTGACCTTCCCCCCCTTTCCATTATTCCGGGAGTGTGCATGCTTCAGCTTGACATACAAGATATAACCCAGGGACCTAAAGAATAGCCAAAGGCACAGAGCCTTTTTGGAAATGTTCTAAGTACAGAAGGTGCCTGTGTAGCAATCCATCTACATCATCTTTACATTTATTTTAAGGAAAAATATCCCTTCCATTATTTAGACAGTAAAAGACAATTACACAGACCCTGTTCCTGTGACTGTCCTTTGCAGCAAGCTGATGACAAATTAATAGAATCTATCTTTTGCAATTCATTCTTAGTTGATGAAAAAAGACATTTATTTTGCATTTTTTAAAAATATTCTAGCACTAGAAAAGAAATCAACTACAGCCCTCACCTTAAAGGAGCGCCCGGTCTAATTTTACACATGTAAAACACACATGTTGTTCCTTATCAGCATCAAAAGAAGTGATCATTTAAGCACCATGATTAAAATTCTTGAGAGTACCAAGGGCTAGCCAATTAGTTCTTCGAGGGAAAGCAGCATGTCTTTTATTACAGCATCTTATTGGACAAATAGTAAGCATTTCTTAACATGAGCGGAGACTACACAACTCAGCAGCACTGCTGACTATTACTGATATTATTGACCCAAAGCATATATTTTCATCCTTGTACTTACAGCTGCCAAATTTCAGAGGACATGAATGAGCATCCATTGGAAAATCCTCCAAGTGCATTGGACATTCAGCTTGAACTGTAAGCCTAAAAGTCAAAATTCCACTCTTTGTTTAAGTAAATTGGCAAGTCAAGAAAAATCACTCGAAAAGTCACTGTTGTCAATAGAGTTAATGATGAGGTAGGACTTTCATTACAGCATCATGTTAGGCTACTTCACATTTAAATACATTTTTTTCTTTCACATTTAGGAGTTCCCTCAGAAGACACTGGCATATACAAAATATGAACAAAATAACAATAATGGTTATTAAAGACATACTTTACATTGTCACTTTCTACTCAGTAGTTTGTTATGAAGCAAAGAAATTCTATATGCATTTTTGAAGGGCTGTTTCCCTATTAACTTTACTATTAATATTCAAAATCTTAACAAATATTTAAAATGCCATCATAAAATGAATGCCATTTTTCCCATCATCTCATCAACAACTGCAGCAAATATAAGAGCTCAATATTGGTTGAGAGGAACTCCCTTCCAAATATGCCAATTGTGTACATAGATATAAAGATGTAAATATATGCATCTCTTAGGATATCTTATTGATACTAAATCAATGTCTATATTATGCTCACAAATTGTGAAAGTTAAATATATTTTTCTATATCTAAATATGATAGATTGTAGGATTTTTTTTATAAAGAAAGCTTTCAATTACTCCATTGCACAGAAAGATAAAATGAGTAAAGTAAGCTCTAAAAGGAACTCTGTTTTAATTGGGCAAAGCAAATGTGACCAACGATTTATACATGATATATATTTCTAAGAGAGTACTTAAATACAGCCCCATCAATATTTTGTAAACTTTTATGTATTCTGTGCATATATCTTGCTTAAATACCAAATTTCTAATCATTACTTTAATCCAATAAGAATGAGTGACCAAATTGTAAACTCAGCAGGAGTACTGCATCTGAAGATAATTGGAGATTCAGTGAGAGAGGCAGAACGAATAGCCAACAGTTCCATTCTAGGTAATGGCCATCTAGTAATGAGTCCTCGGGAGTGGTTTCTTTCCAGATCAAAAATAGCATAGGGCTGTATTATTGCCCTTCTTAAATAACTTTCACAACTGAAATTGAGCACTTGCTTTGCATATGAAATGAGTAACTCAACAAATGCATGGAATACAAATATCTGCATACACAATGTTAACAATTATCCAGTCTTTAAATCTTTAAACATTAACTTTTCATTCTGCATCATTTTACTTGTTACTTTTTTCTTTCTTTCATAATACAACTAACTCATTTAAAATATCCATGAGAATAGTTAAAATGGAATATTTGTAAGAATACAACCATATACCTTTTGATAATTTCATTAAAGTTGTACCATATGAAATTGATGCTGTATGACATGTTTTGATTATAAAATGGCAATTTTGCATGGTCCAATCTAGTATATATACTTATGGTATTCAATATACTTATAAGCCTTAGTAATCAAGAACTCTCAAATATTATTTTTCTAGGGAAACTTCACAAGGGGAATCAAAATATTAAACTAAGTAAAATGATGCTTGAAAAATCACTTAACCTTAATGGAATATAAATATGAGATAGCTGATGGAATAAGAAAATGAAATTAAATACTGGTATAAACAAAATTAAACTCAAGGTATTAAAACCATACTTGGTTAAAATGCAGTGTTGAAGAATTAATAACCAAAAAATAAACCCTCAATAACTAAGGCAGTCTTAAGCTTGAAAATATTGTGTTTAAAATTGAATTTGTAAATACTATTTTTTGCATTTTTTACATATCCAACCATGTACAAAGCATATTATGGGTACTTCAATAATCTGTTAGCAAAATGTTCAACTTTTGCTAATATCTGACAACTGCATTGCCTAGGGGTTTGATGTATAGACTTCCCAGTATTATATGCCACATCAAGCCTAGAAACATACCTCATTGTGTACAGTAGAGTCCCGTCATCCTGGATTCGAAGCAGTTTATTTGGCATTGTCATATTATGAGCTACTGACTTTTTGCCATTGTGAAAGAAGGTATCTGGAGTCCAAATTTTGCTAGCCATTAAATTGTTAAGTCGAAGGATATTCATAGGTCCTTTAAATTTCAACCGTTCATCTTTCCATTTTTGTCGAAAGAAAACATCTATAGTGTATTCCTGAAATACAAAATACCATTCTTTGAAAACAACAAAATTTTAGATACAACAGGACCCTACAAAATTCCAATCAAAATAATGTTCTAAATAGTTCACAGAGAGCTATCGTGAGAGAAGTAAATTTTACCTCCAAAGGATTACACCTTTAGCTTGTCAATAAGTGTTGCCAGTTAGAATGGGATAAAATATATGTATTTATATACTTAGCTACATAGTCATTTGAAAAGAAAAGAAGAAATTGACTGTGAATGGCCTCTTTCAGTTGAACAACTTCTCAAACTGCTTTACTGCATCTAATAGTTTAAAACTTCTTGGAGAAGGCATATGCTAGGGCAGGGTCTAGGTAGGATGTTTTAATTAGGTTAGCTCAAGAAAAAATGGGCAGGTAGACTTCTAGGAGAAAAAAATGAATAACTAAGAAGAAAGGAGGAAGGGGGAGAAAGAGAAAGGAAAATAAATGACTTTTAAGAATACTGTCAGAACTGTGTGAGTCATCACTTCCTGTTGCCAAAGAAACTGTAGAATACCATATTTCATTTGTAATAAAATATAGTGGGATATTATATTGTTAACAAGAATGTGATAGGGAATGATTTCAATAAAGTTTATTTGTGAAATTAGTTTTAAGCAAGTACTTTACCAAGTTACTGGACCCCGAAATATGAATATTTTGTAGTAGATATTCTCAGGTTAAAATGTACTTTCAAATATTCATTGAGACTAGCTAGTGATCAATTTCTCTATTATCATTCCCTAGTCCTTTAATTTAGATGAACCTCTCTCTCTCTCTTCCTCTTTTCTTTCCTATTACTTGCTTTTCCTCCCACTTTCTTAAGAGACTGTATGTATGATAGATGAAATACACAATTCACAATTGTGATTGACACTAACAATTTATTGGATGTTAAATTTTTTGCCAATGTATGTTTGTACATTTACATTTTAAATAATTAAAATGTTCAATTACTCACCTGAGATTGGAAATTCCCAAACTATCCTTTGAGCACAAAACCAGTCATCACAAATTTGGAAATAAATATCCTAGCAATTGAGAATTTCGCTTAACTGATTTTTTTTAAAAGACAGATTTAAAAAGCCATATGATGAAAACATCAAATCATTTACAGAAATTTGAATCAGGTGATGATTTTCAATGATTCATCAAAATTTGAATGGGTGATGATAAAAGCAAAGCATCAACCCCAGATAATGAGTAGGAGGTGAACAGTGGCTCTGGGCTATGCCCTTAATCCTGAAGGAAAATTTAATAATTGAATCTATCCTCTCTCCATGGTATGCTTATTTACTTTTTAATGTTTAATTCCATTTAAATGGAAGCAAAAGAAGAAGAAAAGGATGAAAAGATAATGCTTTGTACTAGAAGTTTTTATTCAAGTATTTCTTTTCAACAGTGGTCCCTCAAATTTTAGCCTAAACTAAATATAAGTGGTGTTATTTTTTCCAGGCAAGCCGAAGATGTTTTAAAACTATTTATAAAACCTTAAATTCAATTTTTCTATTTCTGTAAAAGTAGAGTAAGTTTTATCTGTTTCTGAAGCTATTGATGTGGCAATCATTTCCGGGAGATCTACCACATAGGACATTCTTGAAGTTTTCAAACAGAAAAGTTTCAGGCGATCTTTTTCTAAAATTTGTTTTCAGGAGCAATATCCATCTTTGAATCCTCACAATGTCCCAAGTGAGCCCTGTCAATCTATTGATGTGATCTGTACCTTTTAATTACACTCCCACTAGGCAAACTCATGTTACCCTCTGGCCAACTTTAACAGTCCTCGCTGCTTGTCGTTCCTTCAATACAGCAAGCCCTCCACCTGCCTGCACTGGGAACTCTACTCTCAATCACACCCCCATTGCTTCACCTGGAGTCAGTGGCGGGGGTGGACTTTGTAAAATATATATGTATATGTATATGTGTATATATATATATATATATATATATATATATAATTTATGACAGCAGAATGCATTACAATTCTTATTACATATATAGAGCACAATTTTTCATATCTCTGGTTGTATACATAGTATATTCACACCAATTCATGTCTTCATACCTGTACTTTGGATACTAATAATCATCACATTCCACCATCTTTAATTACCCCATGCCCCCTCCAACCCTTGAGAGGGAGTATGGGAGGAAGGGGATTTTGTACTTTTATAAAGCTCTCCCCTACTGTGATGTGGTTTTTATTGCAATTATATATTTGCTCCTCTACTGCCCAACTACCTGTCAAATATCTAAGAAAGGGACACTGCTTTCACTTGTACTCTATTTCACTTCATTTTCAGAAACATCAAAGAACATAAAGATTATTACACAAAGCTTGCAACCATCACCTAATTGAAACATCTCAAAGTCTGGAGCCCTCCTTCCTCCCCTACTCTCTGAGGAAAGAATTAACTTGAGTTTGGTGTATACTATTCCCATAGTTATACTTACAAATTCACAATATAAATAAATGTACTAAGTGTCACATTGTAAGCATTTATTAAATGGTATCATACTGTGTCTATTTTTCTGACATTGCCATTTTTCTGGTACTTTGTTAAGGCTTATTCACTGCAACGTATCCAGCACTTGGCTTCAGTTTCATTGTATATAACATTGTATTGGAATGCTATCTCACTAGAGTTGTATTTTCCTTGTCTTTCAATATTTCCTCTGTTTCCAGCTTATCACTGTCAAAAGGAATATTGCTGTGAATATTCTCCTTCAACAATTCTAGTACAAAGGTATTAGACTTACTCTAGACCAGAGCAGCAACCTTTTTCCATAAGTAGCTAGTTAATAAATGCTTTAGGATCTGTGGGCCTGTGGTCAGTATCACAACTATTCAATTCTGCTATTCAAGTGTGAAGCAACCAGACAACAGGACCACAGTGAGTCAGCATGGCCACGTTCCAATAAAACTGTTTAAAAAATAACCAACTGACAAAGTCAAGAATGCTGAAGGCTATTGAAAGCTCAGGACTAGAGTTGTGCAGAAGCCAGAATGTAATGAGTTGAGGAGCAAACAGGGTATAAGTGGATGAAGAGTAAAGTACTTCTCCTTATTCCTGAATTTGCAAATGCCAGTAAGGAAAATCAGAGTTCAAGCAGCAACAAGGCTGACCACTGTCCTACACTAAATCTACTAGTAGAATTGCTGAAGTTTATTATACATGCACCTTTAAAGTAACTAGATGTTATCAAATTGAAATCCTCGGAGGTAGGTAGATTTATATTTTCACTAGCAATGTAAAAGCTTTGTTTCTGTATAACTTGGTATAGATAAAGACTATTTTCACTCAGCCATTATGCTCAGTGTAAAAGTTCCTGGTGTTATCATGTACTTTTCTCTGCTATGAAATTTAACACACTTTCATGTTTATTAAAAATTCTACTTTTCTCTTTTATGAATTGTTCATTTCATTTACTCACTTTCCTTTGAAGGTGTCTGTCTTTTTCTTATAGAGTTAAGGAAATACTTTATATATTCCATATATAAACATTTCTGAAGGAACACATAACTCAATATGAATTATCATATCAATATACTAAATATCATAATCTGCTTCTGGTTTCTATTTTTTACATTTTTTTCTATTCCAAAATCAATGCCAAAGTCATAAAAGTTTGAATTAATAATATTTTCAATATTATTCAGTTGAAGGTATTTAATATTTCCCATATGGCCTTTCTTTTTCTACTCTTGGAGACATTGTGAACTGTGAGGTTTTTTTTTTTTTTCATTATTTCCAAGTGTATTCCATATTCTCAGGCTATATTATTTAGTGATGACAATTAAAATGAAGGAAATAGAAGAGATAATATTTATATTTTGCATAGTTATAGGATGAAAATAAATAAGAGGAGGATTCAGGAAAATTAAGGAAGAACAAAAAATGAAACACTGAGCATACACACAAATTACAGGAAACATATTAAACGCAAAGAAAATTTTGGAAGATCATCAATGACGAAGACTACAGAAAGATGATGAAAGCTTAGGACTGGAGAGTGTAGAGGCCAGAATGCAATGAGTGCAGGAGCAAAAAGAGTGCAGGTTGCAGTTGGTAAAGTACTCTTTCCTTTTCCTAAATTTGTAAATCCCTATAAGAGACATTGGAGAGTTCAAGCAATAAAAATCTAGAAACCTGCTAATATTAGTTAGATGTTGCTCTGTAATAAAAAGAAAATTCAGTAGCTTAAAGTAACAAATATTCATTGTGAGCCCAGAAGTCATGAGGCTAATATTTATAGATATGACCTGGACTCTGTTTGATCTTGGCTAGATTTGTTCATGCATCTGTGAATAGAAGGCTATTGGCTGATTTGGGCTACCTGGACAATTCAGCTTGACTCAGTGTTTCTTTTCTCCTCCAGGGACCACTGAACTACCCTTAGCTCGTCTTTCTAATATCAGTGGCAGGAGTACAAAAGAGAAAACCCAAAATGTACAAGCCAATTTCAGGGCATTGCGTGTGAAATATTTCTTACTATCTCATTGGCTAGAGTATCTATCTAACATGTCTGAACTGGTAGACAGATGGTATAGGAGGTGACCCCATCCACAGTGGGAGGCATTACAGAGTTCTTATGGTCTGGATATGCAAAATCCCCGAAAGTTCATGTGTTGAAAGGATGGTTATCAATACAGTAAGGTTCAGAGGTGGGACTTTAAGGCAATAATTGGATCACAGGGGTTCTGACTTCATCATGGGTCCATCCTCAACCATTTGACAGATTAATCAATCCACTGAGAGCAGGATGGACTTCAGCAAAGTGGGATCTAGTTGGAGGAAGTAGATCACTGGGGATGTGCCCTGGAAGGGTTTATCTTAGGTTTATCTTATCCCCCTCTCACTCCACCCACTTCTCTCCTGAACTTCCATGAGCTGAGAAGTTTATCTTTGCCATGATGTTTTTTTGTCATGGCCAGTCAAACATGGATTGAACTTTGGAAACCATGAGCAAAAAAAAAAAAAAAAAAAGA